GTCACTGGCCCCGTTGATGGTCCCGTTGGTGGTCCTATTGGTTGCCCCGTTGGTGGTCCCATTGATGTCCCCATTGGCGGCCCCATTGATGGCCCCGTTGATGGCCTTGTTATGGTGCAGTGGTGGCCTCATTGATGATCCTGTTGGTGGCCCCATTGATGGCCCTGTTGGTGGCCCTGTGGATGGCCCCATTGCGGCCCCATTGATGGCCCCGTTGATGGCCTTGTTATGGTGCAGTGGTGGCCTCATTGATGATCCTGTTGGTGGCCCCATTGATGGCCCTGTTGGTGGCCCTGTGGATGGCCCCATTGATGGCACAGTGGTGGCCTCGTTCATAGCACAGTGGTGGCCCCGTTGGTGGCCCTGTTGATGGCCTCGTTGATGGCACAGTGGTGGCCCCGTTGATGACCCTGTTGGTGGCCCTGTGGATGGCCCCATTGATGGCCCCGTTGATGGCCCTATTGGTGGCCCTGTTGGTGGCCCCATGGCCCTCATGTTGATGTCCTCATTGATGGCTCCATTGGTGGCCCTGTTGATGGCACAGTGGTGACCCCGTTGACAGCCCCGTTGACGGTCCCGTTGATGGCCCCGTTGGTGGCCCCGTTGATGGTACAGTTGTGGCCTCGTTGGTGGCCCCATGGCCCTCACGGTGTTCCCGTTGATGACCCCGTGTCCCCATGATGTCCTCATGTCTTTCCTGACATCCCCACGGTCCTAACGATGTCTTCACTGATGTCCCCACGTCTCTCATGGTGTCCCCATGTCCACTCTGACGTCTGCATGGCCCTAACGATGTCCCCATGGTGTCCCCAGGTCTCCGTGTCCACATTGATGTCCCCATGGCCCTAACAATGTCCTTAACGACATCCACATGATACTCTCATGGTCCTCATGATGTCCCCACTGATATCCCCATGTGCCTTATGATGTCCCCATGGCCCCGTCGATGTCTCCATGGCTCTAACGATGTCCATAACAATGTTCCCATGTCCATTCTGACATTCTCATGTCCCTCATGACATCCCCATTGATGTCCATGTGCCCCCGCTGATGTCCCCATGTCCACGTTGATGTCCTCATGGCCCTAACAATGTCCTTAACAATGTCCCCATGGTGTCCTCATGGCCCTCATGATGTCCCCATGTTCCTTACAATGTCCCCGCTGATGTCCCCATGTCCACGTTGATGTCCCCATGTCTCTCATGATGTCCTCACATTGTCTTCATGTCCACACTGATGTCCTCATGTCCCTTACGATGTCCCCATGATGTCCCCGTGCCCCAACCACCCCCGTCCCCACCCCCCAAAAAAAGAGTGATGGTGGGTGGGAGAGGTGTCACCCTCCCCCGTGGTGGTGGCCCCCCAGTGACACCAGCGTCCCCCTCGCAGGGAAGCTGCAGACGCTGGACGTGCTGCTGCGGCGCCTGAAGGCCGGGGCCCACCGCGTCCTCATCTTCACCCAGATGACGCGGATGCTCGACGTCCTCGAGCGCTTCCTCACCTACCACGGGCACATCTACCTGCGCCTGGACGGCAGCACCCGCGTTGAGCAGCGCCAGGTGCGGGGGGCACCCTTGGACCTCCCGGTGGAGACCTGCGTCTCCAGGAACCTCCTGCTGGTCCCACCTTGGAGCCACATCTCAAGGGCTTCATGGTGACATGGAGGATCCTGGTGTCCAGGGTGGATCCAGGTGGCTGGAGGGGGACCCAGGTGTCCAGTGGGACCCAGGTGTCCGGGTAATGACACCCTTGGACCTCCCCGTGGTGACCCAGGTCTTCAGGAACCTCCTCCTGGTCCAAACTTGGAGCCACACCTCAAGGGCTTCATGGTGATGTTGAGGAAGCTGGTGTCCATGGTGGGACCCAGATGTCCAGGGGGACCCAGGTGTCCAGTTATCAACACCCTTGGACCTCCTGTGGAGACCCAGGTCTCCAGGAACTTCCTCCTGGTCCCATCTTAAAGCCACATCTCAAGGGTTTCATGGTGACATGGAGGAACCTGGTGTCCAGGAAGGACCCAGCTGTCCAGGGGGGTCTCAGGTGTCCAGGGGGACCCAAAAGTCCAGGGGGACCCAGGTGTCCGGGTAATGACACCCTTGGACCTCCCTGTGGAGACCCAGGTCTCCAGGAACCTCGTCCTGGTCCAAACTTGGAGCCACATCTCGAGGGCTTCTTGGTGACATGGAGGAACCTGGTGTCCGGGGGGGACTCAGGTGTCCAGGGAGACCCAAAAGTCCAGGGGGACCCAGGTGTCCGGGTAATGACACCCTTGGACCTCCCCGTGGTGCCCCAGGTCTCCAGGAACCTCCTCCTGGTCCCACCTTGCGGCCACATCTCAGGGGCTTCATGGTGACATGGAGGAACCTGGTGTCCGGGGAGGTCCCAGGTGCTCGGGGTGGGCCCCGGGTGCCTGGGTGGGGGTGACCCACCATACCTGCCTCCCCACCCCACCCCACCCCTCTGACACGTGACCCCGTTGGCGCCGCGCCGCCCCCTGCAGGCCCTGATGGAACGTTTCAACGCCGACAAACGCATCTTCTGCTTCATCCTTTCGACCCGCAGCGGCGGCGTCGGCGTCAACCTGGCGGGTGCCGACACCGTCGTCTTCTACGACAGCGACTGGAACCCCACCATGGACGCCCAGGCCCAGGACCGGTGCCACCGCATCGGCCAGACCCGCGATGTCCACATCTACCGGTACGGCCGGTTCCTGTCCTCCTGGGTCCTCGTCCCAGACACCTTTGGGTCCTCCGTGGTCCCCTCAATCCCACCGCTTTGTCCCTCCGCCGCTCCTCAGGCTCATCAGCGAGAGGACAGTGGAGGAGAACATCCTCAAGAAGGCCAACCAGAAGAGGATGTTGGGAGATATGGCCATCGAGGGGGGGAACTTCACCACCGCCTACTTCAAGCAGGTAGGGGAGGACCCGGGTGGCCGGGGGGGACCTGGGCATCTGGGAAACGCTGCTCTTGGGCCTTCTGGTGGAGACCCAGGTCTCCAGGAACCTCTTCCTGGTTCCACCTTGGAGCCACATCTGAAGGGCTTGAAGGTGGTGTGGAGGACCCAGGTGGCCACGGGGGACATAGGCATCCGAGGAGGGACTCAGGCATCCAGGGGGACCCAAGCCTCCATGAGTGGACACCCTTGGACCTCCCCATGGAGACCCAGTCTCCAGGAACCTCCCCCGGGTCCCACCTTGAAGCTGCATCTCAAGGGCTTCGTGGTGATGTGGAGAATCCTGGTGTCCAGAAGGGACACAGACATCTGGGGTGGGACCCGGGTGTCCAGGGGGTGACCCAGGTGCCCGGAGGGGCCCCAGGCATCTGGGAAATGGCACTCTTGGACCTTCTTGTGGAGACCCAGGTCTCCAGGAACCTTCTGGTCCCAACTTGGAGCTGCATCTCAGGGGCTTCATGGTGACTTGGAGGACTGTGGTAGCCAGGAGGCAACCCAGGCATCCGGGAGGTGACCCAGGTGTCTGGGGGGACCCAGATGTCCCAGGGGGACCCAGGCATCCAGGCATTGACACCCTTGGACCTCCCCATGGAGACACGAGTCTCCAGGAACCTTCTGGTCCCACCTTAAAGCCTCATTTCAATGGTTTGATGTTGACATGGAGGACTGTGGTGGCCAAGAGGGGACACAGGTGGCTGAGGGGACACCCAGGTGTCCCAGGGGGACCCAGGCATCGGGGAAACGACACTCTTGGACCTCCCCATGGAGACTCAGGTCTCCAGGAACCTCCTGGTCCCACCTTGGAGCCACATCTCAAGGGCTCGATGGTGGCAGAGGGGTCTGTGGTGGCCTGGAGAGGACCTGGGTGGCCGGTCCTGCTGCTGACACCCCCCCCGCCCCCAGCCACTGTTCGACATGGCGCCCGAGGAGCCGGGGCGCCGCGAGCCTGAGCGGGACAAGGAGAAGGAGAAGGAGAGGGACAAGGAGAAGGAGAAGGATGGGGACGTCCCCACTGATGAGGACGAGGACCCGGCGGCCACTCGGCGCACCCACATCCTGGAGCAGGTGAGGCTGCGGGTCACCCCTGTCCCTCCTGCCGTCACCCTGACGTCACCCAGTGTGTCCCTTGGCCCCTGGTGGCCCCAACGCCTTTGATGTCCTTCACGTCCCTGATGGCCCTGATGGCTCCAACAGCCCTGATGATCCCAACATCTCTCATGTTCCTTGATGTCCCTCATGATGTCCCCAACATCCCTCGTGTCGCTTATGGTGTCTCCAACATCCCTCATGTCCCTCATGATGGCCCCAACACCCCCGATGTCCCTCTTGATGACCTCAAGATCTCTGATGTCCCTCATGGTGTCCCCAACACTCTTGATGTCCCTCATGATGGCCCCATAACCCCTGATGTTCCTTGGTGTCCCTCACAACATCCCCAACATCCCCGATGTCCCTCTCAATGTCCTCAACACTGTCGATGTCCTAAATATCCCTGATGTCCCCAATGTTCCAGACGTGCCTCACAATGTCCCCAACACCCCTGATGTCTCATCTTCTCAACACCCCTGATGGCCCCAACACCCTCAGTGTCCCTCATGTTGGTCCCAACACCCTTGATGTCTTTCATGATGGCCCCAAGATCCTTGATGTCCCTCATAATGTCCCCAACATCCCTGATGGCCCCACCACCCCTGCCGTCCCATGTCCGCAGGCGCTGTGTGGGGCCGAGGACCCCGAGGACATCCGGGCGGCGTCGCAGGCGCAGGCAGAGCGGGTGGCGGCTCTGGCCGAGTTCAATGAGAGCCTCAGCCCCGAGGATGAGCGAGGTGGCCCCGAACCCGAAGAGGAGCTCTCCAAGGCTGAGCAGGAGATCGCCGCCCTGGTCGAGCAGGTGGGGACCAGCATCTCCAGGGGGTTCGGGAGGAACAGCATCTCCAGGGGGTACAGGAGAACCAGCATCTCCAGGGGGCTCGGGGGAACCAACATCTCCAGGGGGTTCAGGAGAACCAGCATCTCTAGGGCGTTCGGGAGGACCTGGGTGGTGAGTGGTCTAGAGGGACCAGGATCTCCAAAGGGTTGAGGAGAATGTGAGTGGTTGGTGGTCTGGAGGGACCGAGATCTCGAGAAGGTTCAGGAGGACCAAGACCTCCAGGAGGTTGAGGAAAACATGGGTGGTTGGGGGTCTGGAAGGACCAACATTTCCAGGAGGTTGAGGAGAACATGGGTGGTTGTGGGGCTGGACGGACCAAGATCTCGAGAGGGTTGAGGGGGACCAAGATCTCGAGAGCGTTGAGGAGGACCAAGGTCTTGAGAAGGTTCAGGAGAAACAAGATCTCCAGAGGGTTGAGGAGAACGTGGGTGGTTGTGCGGCTGAAAGGACCAAGATTTCGAGAAGGTTCAGGAGGACCAAGATCTCTAGGAGGTTGAGGAGAACATGGGCAGTTGTGAAGCCGGAAGGATCAAGGTCTCAAGAGGTTTGAGAAGGACCAAGATCTTGAGAAGTTTCTGGAAGGACCAAGATCTTGAGAAGGACCAAGATCTTGAGAAG